CCCCCCTCCCCCCTCCCGTTCGGGGGATCCCGGAAATTGGAACCCTCTGACTTTATCGCCTTGTTGACACGGACATATCCTCTTCGTTGATACTCTCTTTCCTCTTTAGCGCCTGGGTGATAGTTCCAAGCAATAAACGCTTTTCCTCGGCACTCTCGCGCTGAAGCCTGCGGTGTCCGGCCTAATACAACCAAGGGTAACGAACAACAAACACCAACATTCCACCAAAGTCGCCGGTGAAGGCTTTGGAATTCTTTCGTAAGGATGCCAGATTGGGGGACCGCAACAATCGGCGAAATCAGGCACGAAAAGAACCCCGGGGATGTTCAACAGATGGAACGTCCTCGACGGACGTTGAGGAGATGAAGGGGTTACCTTCACCCCCCCACACACACACACCTACCTGTTAAGGAGACTAGCCTACACTTGCTTGCTAAACAGACAAGACCCCGTGTAAGGGTGTCCAGAACCCCAACGGCTCGAGGTGGGTGGGGTCGCTATTCCTTCACAATCTTCTGTCTATTTGTCAACGGTGCGCTACGCTCGCCACACGTCGTCATCGGAAGTTCCACAACAAGTAAGTTCAAACCTGTCGCTTGGCCCATCACAATCTATCTCTTGGTGGGGTTGCGAGGTTCTTAACGCTCGTTATCTTCAGCAAAAAAACGCACAACGACGCCAATGTGACATGAGAGAACCGTTCTCGGTGGACGTTTTCTACATGGGACCCTCAAGGCCCCCTCCAAAGCAAAGCCATATCACATACTATCCCCCGTGCACCCCCCGAGGGTGAACGCCGGCGCGTTCCGTCGAGCCTCCGAGTGTGAGCCCCACACCAGACATCCAATCAGACCTGGCCTTGCCCAATCCGTTTGCTTCGAAACATCTGTAAAACCCATCTGTAAAATTCATCTCAAACAAGGCGACCTTCATCACGCGTCGTGAGTTCCCGCCATCAGGCGAAACCCGCGGCTGATGCAACTATTCGTCTAGACGCATCAATGCTTTCCTGGGTGAATCCACACCTCTCTCCGTTTGTCCGTCTGCTATATTCTGGACCGTGCCCATCCACCAACTCGGGAGGCGTCCGGCTATGGTGGTGACGGTCCTATTGCATTCACCATACGGGTGCGTTCGGTATGCTCATCACTCCCATTCTACGTAGCCTGCCATCAACAGAGCACCGAAACAAAGTTTCGATGTACCCAAGGTGGCTTCAAAAATGCTATTCAGCGTCGGATCGCCGACTCTCTTGGTCGTCGGCCGGCTTCGAGACGGACGCATCGTCATCGGTAGCGGCATCGCGCTTGGATCCGCCGTCGTCATTTTCTGAGCCTTGCTTGGACTTGTCGTCGTCGTTGTCGGAGGCTTGCTGGTCTTTGTCTTCGTCGGCGCCAGACTTGCTACGCTCGGACGTGTTTCGCGCCTCGCTTTTCTTGTCGTCATCCCCATCCGGCTTTTCTTTGTCTTCCTCGGCTTCAGTCGCAGCATCTCCGGCGGCAGCGTCATCCGATTTCTCCTTGCCTTCGCTGGAAACAACATCTGCCGCGTCCGGGGTCGAATCTTCCTTTTCTTCGGCCTTATGTTCTTCTTCTGTGCCGCTTGTCGCCTTCCCTTTGTCTGGGCCCGCTGATCCAGCGGGCTTGTCTTCTGGCTTTTCTGCGCTTGCAGCGGCAGGCGCACCCTGCTGAGATGCTTCTGCCGCCGGTGGTGCGGTGGTTTTGGCTTCGTTCGTTGGGCCTACCGCTCCCGCTGTCGGTGCCGCTTCAGCCGCCTCGGCCGCCTCGGCCGTTTTTTTCGGGATTTCAGCACCCTGCGGGAGGTATGGAAGGGAGCGTTTGTGCAAGCAATGCTAGTGTTGGGTCTGTAGACTGAAAGCACGTCAAACCGTCTCCTTGGCATCAGGGGGGATACCGTTGGTCTCGTCCTGTGTACTCGAACGACACATGTAATAATTTCATGCACGGGTCTCAGGGAGAGGAACCCTTCTGTGTGACCGCGGGTTGGAGTAAACGGCACAAGTGCTGTGAGCGCTGGTTTTGGAAGCAAGGCAACGAAACAATGCAAAAAATGCACCTCCTCAACGGCGACGGCGAGCTTGTTGGTCATCTTCAACTGCTTCGCTTGTTCTCTCTCCTTCATGCGAGGGCTCAAGAAACCGGCCGTCGCCATGTATCTGCAAAGAGAAACAAGAGGAACATGAAATAGTTTTTTCGCCGCATCCTAGGGAAGTTTCAATGGCACCACTCCTCGGTGGGGCGAGAGAACGCACAAACTCTGCTCCTCCTGTCGTGAAGCACACCGTCTAGCGTTGACTTCCAGATGACGACGGATGGGTAACTTTCAGTTTTGTCGCTGACGAGAAGCATCCGAAGAGCAGACGGTCTCTCTCGCGCGCAGGATGAAAACTGTATCCTTGATTGCCTGCCATTGTCCCTTGTTGCGGTGGTAAAGCGTTTGACGGTACCGCTTGCCCTACGGGCAAGCCTCGCAACTCGTTCAGGGATGACACGCCTACCAACACGTGCGCACACAGAAGACGTGGTGCGGTTTCGCGAAAGATAGAAAAAAAAACACCCGGTTTCGCGAAAGGCAAGACGACACTCTGTCTGGTACCTGGTGGCTACGCCAGCGTGGTCGCTCTCTTCCATGACGTAATTGTATTGCCCGATCTCGGCGATGACCTGCCACGTTTGCCGAGGCACCCCGGGTTTGTACTTGACGCCCCTGGGACCCGGACCATCTTCGAGACAAATCCACTTGGCGACTTTCTGTCCGATCACAATCGGAAGCGGGGGGTTAGGGGGGCACGTGTGAGGGGGGATGGGGATGACGAGTGCCGCCGTGAAGTGCCGCAATCTGGCGACGCGGTTTCTCACGGTATGCTTACAGTGGTTCATGCGTGGACTGGTCTACATGGCTTTATTACTGAAACGACAATGGCATGGAACATGCCATGTTCTTGAAAATGTAGCGAATTGCAATTTCAGTGCTCTTGGAAGCGTTGATACGTGTGTATTCATGAGGTGTGTCGGTCCGTATTACCGTAGGATACATGCACGCCCTCTCCCTTTCCGCCGACTGCGTTGTTCGGTCCTCGGCGACTTTGTTTGTTTTGTTGTTCTTGGAATACCATGTCCTGCTGTGTGACCGAATAATATTATTACTTTGCCGTTTTGCTCGCGCTCCACCCAGCCCATCTTCAGCTCGTCCGCGTCTATCTTCTCGCCCTCCCCTAGCACCCGAAAGAACTCGGCCGTGTACCCTGCAGCATTGCGTGTCGTCATCGCGTTTGGCGTTGCGGACTAAAATCGCATGCATGGGGTTACGGGATTGAATAAATCGTCTGACGGGGCGCACACGGATGTCCGAGAAGGGTTTATAACACCCTTTCAACCGTCTAGGGTCGTTTTTTTTCACCCTTCGCGAAAATGTAAAGGGGTGGTTTCTCCACTCGTACTCTGACACAATTCACACACAAAGCGTGCTCAGACCGATTGGAGGGAGTTGGGGGTGAGGTGTGACGCTGTGATACTACTCCAGGTGATGGAATCAATAACGAGAAACACTTGTCAGGCAGCCCTCCCATCACGCCTCCGCGCGCAGGACCCTAGTAGATGCGATTGCTGGACGGGCTAGGCCTTAGTCGCGAGCGGGTATATCAAGAGCGACGGCACAGTTGAAAAAATAGCCCCGAGAATTGCCCGAAAGCCAAAAAGGGGGGGGAGGGCCGGCTGGCATGGGATTCTCTCAACAGGGCAAAACGAGAAAACCGATCCTCTTGTCAAAACCGTCGGTGATCCCGACATACACTGAAGACCATGTACCCCTGATCTTTTCGCGGAGAAGCTAGAAGTGGAATAAACACCCTTCGAACGGCGCATGCGAAATGGAGGTGGCAGCATGAGTCTTACCTGGCTGTTGCTGTTGTTCGTCCACGATGCTCTTCGGAGCTTTCTTGCACATCCAGCCAAAGAGGGAGTTCAGCAAGAGCTGTGTTTTGAGTGGGTACATAAAAACGAGGGCGAGGAGTAAATATTCCATCACGCGAACGCAGCAATAGCAAGGGAACACACAAAGGTGCGCGTGATGATGGCCTGTAAATGCCTTGTCATGTCTGAGAATTCCCTGTAGTTTGTCGTCCGTTGACATCGTCGTCATGCGGACATGCAGAAAAGTGAATGTGGCAGTGAGCCTTTTGATTTTCTGAGTCGCGCTTGCCCGTCACATCGCGGCGAAAAACAATGTCGCCGGCAAGGACAAAGTTTCGGTAGATTGCAACTCGGCACAGACACCCACCTTCGGCCATGTCTAGCAAGTAATCCCGCTACCAACGAGCGGCCCCATCCCAGCGCGATTGTGGCTGTTTTCACGGGAAGTCTGTCCGAATATTAGGACTCTTCAGCCCGAACCACTGATACCGCTATACGTACCTCAGCAGCACATCGAGAACACACATGAACATCAACTGAATGGAGGATAGCCGCAGAAGGATGGGTTTACTTTTTTGCTTGAATAGATAAACTTAAGCGTCTCGATACAGACGGTGTTTAGTCTCACCCATCCTTGTCACGGCTAGGCAGTCTGTGGACTCATGCCCCCCCCCATCGATTGTTCGTATCTTGCGGTGAAGAGGCAGGCACCAAAGTCAAGATATATATATTAAAAAAAACATCCGTACGCTACTCACAACTTCACAATCTCCACTGCTTTTCAATTTTACTCTCTCGCGTGTCCTCCATATCGCGCCGCGTATTCGATCCTCCCCTCCCCGTCCCCCCCCGCCGCACTTGCCTTCACAATCTGCAATAGCGGGTCCCCTACGATCTTGTAGGCCACGTACAGCGCGATGAACAAGGCCGTCAGGACGAAGAGGGGGAAGACGTGCTTGCGCAGCACGTGGTCTGCCACCAGACCGGACACGCCCTGGCCGTCCAGCGCCTCTGCGATGGTCTGGGCTTCATCGCTGCAGTGTAGGACACGATTTTATTGGTTCGGCCAGAGACAGGAGTTGTTCAGGGTCGGCTATAGACCAACAGGGTGATGACCGCGCATCTCAGTCGAGGCGGACAGAGTATGGGGTTGCGAGGAGGGGAAAGGAGGGGGGGGGGTGCGGTGTCCTAGCAGGCAGGGGGATGTCATGTGGAAAACGTCGCAGGACGGGGTCTAGAATCGAACGCATCCCTTTGCCGTCGTCTTCCTCGCTTATCAGGTGTATTTTTCATTCTGGCGATGGCGGGATAGAGACGGGAGGCTGAGGGCGGCTCTCGATTTTGTTTGACAAGGTCGTTCGACTGCCGGGTGAGAGGGGGCGGGGGGCGAAGGATGAGGTATCCCGTGCACTACATGACACCACCGAAAGCGCTTGCTAGTTTGGTCCGGTTGAGGAATGTGCATTGAGAGGGATGCATCATTCTGCAATGCTGTGCACTCGACAGACCAAAGCTCGAAAACATTTCTCCCGGCAAACTAAAACAGTGGCGTGTCAAACCGAGTCGCACATGACTGCGCTGTCTAGGTAGGACACGCGCCCCCACCTGCCAGAATAGCTTGTCGTACGTTTCTTACTCCGGCCTACGAGCTTCTATGAGAAACATGGACAAAAAAAAGTCGCCGTAATAACGAGCTTCGTATGGTCTCGTTTGCCCTCATTCTGTGGGGGACGTCGTCATTCACCCACTCACGCAACACGGGTCAGTACAGAAACTTGCCTGACAAACCCAATGTTCAGGATGTCGACGTTCCCGAGCATGTAGCACGCCGTCGACATATGCACGAGCAGTGCGATCGGGAGCACTCCTACAAACATCTTAGCCAGCGCCGCTGTGTACATTGGAGGTTGCTGTGCAAGCTTGATGATCCAAAACTTCAAGAAAGTGTGTGCGTGTGCGTGTTTTTTGCCGTCGTGTGTGGTGTGGCACAAAGTCGGTGCACGCAGAGGAAAAGGCGAGCAGAACGAACAAACGCAGGGTAGGTGATAGAGTGAGACGTACGGCCTACAATTTGCGCGCATGCCTGTTGTCGTATGCTTGATGATCCAGACCTTTTGCTGCAACAGGCACGAGGCACATTTAAGGAAGCTTCGGCGTTTTCACCCTTTTCGGTTATCGTCTCGGCAGAGGAGGTTGGAAACCTGTTTCAGGGCTTGGCGGGAGTCAGCTGTCTTCGACATGGTTGGAATGATACCGTCGAACGTTAATCGATGAAGGGCTTCAAGTACCGTTGCCAGCTTTCTTCTCTGAGGAGCCCTCGCTACAAAAACGCACGGGGGAAAGTGGATCAAACCCGCGGTGTCTCAACCAGGCGGCCGCTCGAACCGGCTGACGACAACAGCTGAGAGCAAGCGGGCTACATTCGGCACCGTGACCCAGATATTACACTTGGACATGCGTAGTGCAACGTCCACAACTTGCTTCTTCCTTACATGTTGGACATGCATGCCATAACAAAAAAAGAACATTTTCTGATGGCTTGTTTTCGTGGCAACGCCTGCCAGTCTGTACGACACCATACCTTGTCGACGACGAAGTTCGTGGCGAAACTGAAGGATGCGAAAAGATAAAGAATGGGAATACCTCCAGAGTAGAGAAGCGACACCCCCAATACCTGAGGGACGTACGCCAACGCGTTGAGTCCGTCGCAAAATAGAAATAAGTATGAGTCGTGACGCGCACTAGCGTACTCTCTGCTGGAGTTGTGCACGTGGCCAATGCGGAATTCCTGACGTGATGTTTCTAGGATGACGCCTTTTGACTCTTTCTTGAATCAAGGGGCGGTAAATCAGCATTTTTCAAGGGGAAGTGCAATCACACGCGATTGAAGGAGACTGCATTAATCTATCAAGGCAGTTCAGACAAAAAACCTTTGAGCGTACTATCCCCAACTCTAATCATAGCCCTTTACCCCAAGATCCGTTCGCCAACTCGTTATTACTTCACCAACTGGCTGCGTAAATTGTTCTGTGCACCCCCCCGAGCTTTTCGATCTGTTGGTTGACCTTTCCGACAAAGACTCTCACTTTACGCGAAAAGCAAATAAACATGCCTGAAGCAAGAAGGCGTAGCGCGACTCCATGTCAAACTTGGGAGGCTTGTACAGGCTGTTCATCTGCGCCTGCGTCGCTACCGATCGCCGCTTGAACAACCGCTTGATCGGGTTCACGATTATTTCCCTAGTCAGGTTCCGTGGGTTGGTTAGTGCAGATGGGACATGGGATGTAAGTACCCGGGGAGGTGTCGGGGCGTTTCACATTGGAATAAGGTGAGTCGTTGTGAAGGTGATGTGAGGCACGAATACGCTGTGGTTGAGTGCTACGACGGCCTTCGCCATTGTGGTTTTGTACTCACGTTGTGTTGTGCCTAACCGCTGAACGAAATTATGTTGCGGGTGCTTTGGAGGAGAATAAATTTCACGTTATATCATTCCGCAATCTTCAAGGCCAGTAGAGCACGAAGAAACTGCCGGTGTACACCATGGGTCAACTTCCAAGTCTTGATGCACGTTCGTGCACAAAACCACCCAAGCGATAAACGGTGAACCAAAATTCCCTTACAGTCAATCGTGCGTGACTCGAAACAGTATGTAGACGATCAACGCTGCTTGAGAAGGACTTCTTACGGCGTGTTTCGGGGTATCCGCAGCAGATGCTAATCAATCGAGTTTGTATTAGTTTTGTAGCGCGCTGAAAGGCACGACCAACAACAATAGATGTGATTGCCGTGCTTCATGTTCGTCGCCCTCTGCTCGCGCTGGACTCACCCCACCAAGGTCGTGGCGTGAGGCACGACGACGTTGATGAGCATCGACATCGCGACTGCCACGCCCACGGTGGCGTACCAGCTCCTCTCGAAGTCGTTGTACTCACCCGCTAGCACGCCCAAGTCCTGCGAGCAATGCGATTCGATGACAGACATCCTCTCCGCAATTGTTGGTGACCAAACGCGCCACGCGCTTCGAGGTAGCGCTCGTTTTGTACACAAGAAACGGTTAGTATCGGCGTTTGGGGGCAGTCAAGTGTTCTTGCCTCTTCTTGTGTCTTGCTGCTACAATCACGTCATCAGCGTCCCACTTCTGGCAGAGAATGTCGTCACAACACGTTCGTCCAGGCACGCACGCAACCAAAACGAGACAAGTGTAAGACAAACAAACCTGCAGGAAGCCAAGGCCACCGCCGGTGTAGCCGGCGTTGACGATGATGACGATGAGAGCGGTGTTGAGGAACTGGGCGAGGGCCAGCTTGGCCGTAACCGTAGAGGTGTAGTCAGACAGCGACACGTGCCGCTCGAACTTGGCCAACTTGCCCATGACGCTCGTGAGCAGGGTGTTGACGATCACCACCGACATCACCTTATCGAAGGAAAGGCGGAGATCGTGTTCCGAAAATAGAGTAGATCGGTTGGTTTTGACACAGCACGGGAGCAATGTATCTGGCGATGAGCCGAAATATGTTGACCGCACAAGAGGCAGGGTTGATTCTACGGTTACACCTGTACGGACGCCTGTGGATCGATACGGGAAGATGCTCCGAGCACACGGGAGAACGATCTTTTTGCGCCAGACGGCGAGTCCGCTGGAGATCAGCCGTCAAGCCGCCACCGTCTACGGTGAGGACCGCCGCCAGCCTCAACTCACCGCAAGAATCTTGATGGCGTTGGTCGTGGCGTAGTCCCTCAGGAAGGGTGCGCAGACCTCTCCCTGCTCCCTCGCCACCACCTTGGCCCCGTCCACGAGGCCATGCTCCTGGAAGCTGGTCACGACCGCATCCAGGCAGAAGCAGCCGATCATGGTGGATTGCGGGTAGCTCACGCAGCCGTAGCCCACCTCCCAGCTATCCTGCTCGTCATTGGCGTAGCGATACCGGAAAGGTTCGAAAGATTCCAGCTTGAATTTCACTATAGCAGCACCCAACAAAGATGGGTGTAGAGTTCAAGTGGCCATGAGCTGCGGCCTAGAATAAGGAACAGCGTCGAAAACAGAGAATCCTATGTTCCATCGAATTCGATTTCTTACTTTCACAACAAGCAGCCGACAAAGTGGCGGGCTGACTGGGGGACGAAACGCAGCCGTAGTCTACCTCTCAGCTTTTTCAGAGAATGGTGGCGAACAGGACAGGCCAAGTTCGACATCAAAGCTGTCCAATAATCTCTTTAAAGCGACGACCAATCTCTAGGTGGATCGCAGTAGTCACTTTGTGCTCCAGACAGTTTCCTTCCGCCCATTCAATAATGATCAAGAACGTAGTCGACTACATCAAGGTGCGGCAACTTAGATGAGCTGTGTTGGGAGATGGTTGCGCAGTTTAACACGTTTGGCCGAAGGAGTTGGTCGATCAGCGGATGTGGTGGGTGCATGTCACACCTCTGTGACTGCCCCCACCCACGCAATCTAGGGAGTGGATTGTACCTCGGACGGCAGTCTGGGCAATGAGGAAGGGGAAGCGGCCGCTATCGCCGCATTGACCCTCGTTTCGTACAAAAAACAACCCCCGCTTTTGCCAAATCTCACCACCCCTCATCAGCGCCTAGCCTTGACCCAGCAACCAATGTCGGGTAGAGCACTACGTGCCTCGAATGCCGCGGGTATTTTCGAACTGACGGTATGAGTGTCTCAAACAGGGTTCAATCAACCCTACTTAGCGCGAACGACCGTCAGACCGCCTCAACCAAAAAAAAAACGCGTTTGTCCCCCTCCCCCCCCAGCTCGGACTCCGTAATACCTACTTCGCACCTCGTAGCACGACAGGGCACGGCAGGTGCTGCCGCCGCTCGCCGGCTGGCAAGGGTCGTCGCACAGCTGGTCCGCGTCGTTGGCCGCCACGAACGAGGCGCGGGACACGTTGGTCCCGTCGGCGGAGAAGATGGGGGGCAGGTTGTCGTAGTCCAGCTGGCTCGAGTCCGGGTCGGTGGCGTTGGCGGCGAAGGCGAGGTAGAAGCTGCCGTCCGCGCAGGAGCTGTCCATGGAGTCGTCTCTCTGGTTTTGCAACGTTGGCGGGGTGTTTTTTTGTTGGGGTCGTTCGGTGTGGTGTTGTGTATGAGGCGCGGTGTGTTCCTCGTAGTGTGTTTTTTGTGTCATCTGGGCGAGTGGTGTGTGAAAGGAACAAGTTATTCGGTCTGGTTGTCAACTTCGCCCCCTTTCGCCACTCCTCGTGTTCTTACTTGACAGCGTTTAACTACCTGACGGTTTTGAATCTCTAGGCTACATGTTGTTCCCGGTGCATGCGGTGCTATGTTCGAGATACAACTGGGTACGTCAGGAAACGACATGAACGGGATGCGGCGATGAACGCGCTGACTGTCCATTGACTGATACACTTGCCGCGTTGTGTGTGCGTGGGTTTTCGAAGAGACACCGGGGCGCAACGTCGTTGACTTCGATCGCAAATGGCCTCTCAACTAGAGAGCACACAAGGTCTCCTCGGCCGTTTTCTCTATTGACTCCGATAAACCAGGACGGTCTGACTGCACGAGCGTGGGATGGTTCCGATCACGACGTGGAAGTGCCATAGATCGATGGATGGATCGCAGTTTCATCCAAGGTATGCAAGTCTCGAAGTTTTCCTGGTTGCGTCTGATCTGACTTACGGCCAACGAGAAGTCACCTGCTCCAGGCGATGGCTGCGAGGCGGACGAAAACAATCAGCAGTGACGTGGCTGGACGCTTCCGGTGGATTGACGCAAGAACATGAGACTAGAATAACAGCAGTAACGGCAGCAACGGCGATATCTGAATCGCTCACCTGCAACGCGGCGTCCAGCGGAAAGTCATACGTTCCAAAAACGACGGCAGGAATCGTCTCCTCGCAGGTATCCAACGCCGGGATCCGCTCCTGGAGTTTTGCCTATGTTGTACGACACACAGGCAATGACATAGACAACAATTCGTTGGCTACGATAAAGGGAACAGCTATAAGATCGACTTTGACATCGTCCTCTTCCGGTGTATGGTCTATGAAGCAACATTCTGGCTGTGCGCAATGAACCACAGGTATATGGAAATCGTACCGTTTTTAGTCATGAATTAAATGAAGCCACATTCTGAACCCGGTACACAAAAAAGGTGCGAAACGCATTTCCCGTGTTCACAAGCAGAATATAAGCACCCCTCGCCTGCAACACTTGCGATGCCTTGAGCTCATCTACTCAGCGAAACATAAGAATTACCTTCCACCGGAAAGTATACGGTCCGGAACAGAAAAAGTCCCGGACGAAAAACGGTTCACTAACTTGGTCGGGGATAGAACGCTGAAAGAAACAGTGGCTGCACAAGAACCCACGCTTTCCCTGTTCTGTAGCAGTAGGCGGTCCGGCAACCATATTTTGCGGCTATTGTGCAATGATGTAGGATCCCCTACCGCACCTGCTCTGTCTGGGCGAGGTAGATAATGGCGAAACTGAGGATGAGCAGCACGACGCACACCAGCGATGTGACGGCCCTCCTTAACTTGCGAGACGTCGGAGTTACGTCCAGGTTTTCCCACTTCACATCGCCGGGTTCCGGGGCCTGGAAATGATTCCAATTCATGAGGAAGCGGAGCGGCTCTCAGACACAGCTACCATATATCGATCCACGTTCAGATCACTCCGCAGGTGAGTTTATTACAGGTGTCATCGAAGTTCTCCGGGTCGATATTCTGTGGGATTGCTGTCTAAGCAAAAAGAACGCTGCGGAGTGGGCTCGGGGGGAGGGGGTGTACTCAAAGGCATACATGCCATAGTTGTTAGACCATTGACCTCGCATCGCCACAAAGCAGGCACGGAGCACGCCAGGTTCTCCCCAAGCGCGAAACGGCGCAAGGTATTCGGCAAGTCGGATGGAGGGTGGGCTGCATCCTGGTAAGGGTGTTCGGCGTCTTGCGCTTACTTCCTTGCGCACGGATGGCAGCTGCGAGTGGCTTCATATAATTCTGGTGTTTACACTTCCAGAGACAGTTATGAGCACTGTGTAAGTGCCTCGAGGGTGCTTAACCATTTTTACACGACGTGGTGCGATCATCCCCTTTGCACGGAGTGAGGGTTTTCGACCCCGCACAAAATAGTCTACTCGCCTTTGTCGAGCTCACGAAGCGATCGATTTGTCCTACAACGTCATTGCCAAGCGACCAAAACCCAACCCCGATGGCAAACACCAAGGGGGGGGGGGGGGGGGGGGGGGGGGGGGGG